AGAGATTTTTATTTAATTACCTATCCTTTTTATTTATTTGTTCAGTTTCGCTCCAAGTTTAATTATTTATTTTTTTTTCTTTTCTGCTTTGTTTAAACTAATTGCGAGTTATAGATTAATTAAATTGTTATTCTTTAATCTTATCAATGACAGCGCGATTCTTTTTGATAGAAGTTTCGAGTAATAAAACTTGCGGTTTATTCTCGTTAAACTGTGAATCTTGCGAAGGATATAACAAATATTTTTACCCAAACTTAGTTCACTATAAAAGGCGTTTCACTTTTCAAATTGTTGCCACCAAATATTAGAGCCATGCATTATATTTTATTATAAGAAATTAAATAGTGAACAACCTGCATGAATGTCTGGCACCAAAAAACAACGGTTCTAGAGACATGAAATTTTGAATAATTAGTCCTGCACTCGATTATGGGCATCTGGAAGTTGGAATTTGTTTTATTATCTATTTCCTAGTTTTGTAAAACTTTAACGAATTTTTGATTAACAAACCCAACAATTTCAAAGCGAGCAATGGCAACACTGTACGAATTTATAGATATATATATATATATATATCCAGCACCCGAGACCTATCAAGAATCCTGAAGATATGCTGTTTTTAAATTATTTTGTGATATTGCTGTTGAATTGAATTTTATGATTTAAGTGCGAAAAATATGATATTTAATAAATAAAGGTAACGCACAAAACGTTAAAAAACACTCCCTTGGCCATATTATAAAATTATTTATTTTTTTAATTTTATGTGTTTACTTTTATCTCCCTAAAGCTTCATAACTGCTTAATAAGCGCAATTTAACTTCTTATCAACTAGGAACCTGTTCCAAATCATGTTTGTTTTCATCAGAATTAGAGACCAAAATTGCTTGCTGTTGGAATAAAATGATAAAGATAAGTAAGTAGTTATTAATGTCGCCGATATGACCAATAAACCTTATCTCTCTTGGAAGATGCGTAGTTCAGCTTTTAACTCTTGATACATGTATCTCACTGAAAAAGGGCGATATCACATATTAAAATGTCTTTTACGCAGTTTTTCCCGTTGTTTATTATAGATGAGTTGAAGTAAAATCTCTAGCAATTTCTTCAAATATGTACGATCTGGAACATGTAATTAAAGAAAAATAAAGCATAATTTAAAAGAAAAAAAAAAGAAAAAGAAAATTCTGAAAGCTTTTCAAATTTTACATTACACATAAAAAGACTTTTTTTTAACGTTTTGTGCGTTACTTTTATGTATTAGCATGTTCTTTGCACTTAAACCATAAAATTCAGTTCAATATCAAAGTCGCAAAATAATTTTGAAATAAACATATCTTTAGAATTTCCGATACACAGTCCCGCGCGCTGGAGATTAAATTTTTTTTTTTTTTTTTTTTTTTTCCCCCTTCCCTTTAGCATGTTGCCATTGCTCGCTTTTAAATCGTCGAGTTTGTTAATCAAAAATTCGTTAAAGTTTTACAAAATATGAAATCGATAGTAAAACATTCCAAATTTGGGTTTTCAGATGCCCATATTCGCAGTAGGGTTACGTCATTCAAAATTGGATGGCTCTGGATACTTGTTTTATCACAATGCGAGAAACAGACATACATTTATGCCGATTTTTTATTATTTAATTTCTTCAAATATAATGCTTCAAATATAAACTCGCGCTGGAGTGAAAAGGTTTTTTTTTCCTCGTAGAGTTTTGAAATCCTTGAGTATTCTCCTTTGAAATCCTTGAGTAAAACTCCCTGTTTAGTTTTGATATTTGCTCGCTTTGAAATCCTTGAGTTTGTTAATCAAAAGTTCGTTAAAGTTTTACAAAATATGAAATCGTTAATAAAACAAATTCCAAATTTGGTCTTTTACATACCCATATTTGCAGTAGGATTACGTCATTCAAAATTCGATGGCTCTATGTACCGTTGTTTTATCACAATGCCAGAAATACACATACATTTATGCAGATTTTTCATTATTTAATTTCTTCAAATATAATGCTTCAAATATAAACCAATAAAATTCAGTTTATCAGCGATATCAAAAAATAATTTTTAAAAATTATATTTTTAGAATTTCCGTTACAGAGTTTCCCGCGCTGAAGATAATTATTTATATATTTTTTTTATTATTATTATTTCCGTGCAGTGTTGCCATTCCTCGCATTGAAATTTTGGAGTTTGTTGATCAGAAAGTCGTTAAAATTTTACAAAATATGAAATTGGATGGCTCTAGGAACCGTTGTTTTATCACAATGCGAGAAACGCACGTACATTTATGCTGATCCTTCATTATGTAATTTCTTTAAATTACAAATAGCGACCCAATTTAGAGCGATAATATCGGGTGGCAACAATCTGAAAAGTGAAACAGACATTTAAAGCTTTCAAACGAAATTAATATCCCTTTGCGCTTAAAAAAAATAAAAATAAAAATAAATAAATAAGATTTTATTTAAAATGGATATGATAATTAATGCACTAAAAGTAAGAAGTAGTTTATCATATAGTTTAATGGGAATGATTATTAAGACAAAAACAATCATTGCGTGGACAAACCCATTTTATTTATAATTTAAGGGAGTTCTTTTTCTAAATAGTTTGGAAAAAGGGGGACAAACTGCTTAAAATTTTCAGAACCTTTAGCTACCAAGCTAAAAAAAATTGCGGTATTAAAAATTAATAATATTAGATAAAAATAGTAAATGATAAATAAATTCGTGTTGCTTCTGCATCTTTTTATCTGGAAAAAATAGCCTCGATGAAATGAATTTGAATATGTAATTACTTGAAATTTTTTCCCTAGGGAAGGCCATTATTATGTTTCATGAAAGTAGTGTATCACTGGAAAGTTTTTTGTAAGCGAATTATTGTTTTTAATAATTAGCTTTTTTTATACACCAGAAGGAATATCAGGTATATTGTTTATCCAGGAATATCAGGTCCTGGAAAAACAGACAGCGGTCCGATCCCCAAATTTCACATTCGTCAGACGAATTTTGAACAATGACTGTTCATTCATACAATGACAAATGGAAAGATTAGGGAATAGATTATTCTGGAATTTTTTTGAGGGTTTCTTTTACATTACTTTACAAAAGTAAAATGTCACACAAACTTAGGGTTTTTTGAGTAAAAGAGGTTCTTGAATAAAAGAGGTTCATCTATATGATGTTTCCTTGGCAATAGTAGAGGCAGGTGTTGTTTTTGTTTACTCGTAAAATAGATAAACATTCTAGAATTAGCTTAGAAAGTGTATTTTTGACCTTGGATCTTGAGTTGGGACCTTGAAGTTCCTTTGTGGACATTCAAAGCTATGATGTCAGATGAAAACTTTAAACCTTTCTATAAACCTGCGCATGCGCTGGGAGAATAATATCCGGTATTCCTTTTTTTTTCTAAAGTATATATAAGTTACTTTCCTGTTTATTACTTGAGTGAAAATCTTAATTGTCTTTGAAAGATCAATATTCAACACGGTCAAAATAATCATGGAAAAATTAAATTAACGTTGCTTTCAAATCTTTTTATCTTAGAAAGACATTCTCTAAAATTTTGAATATGTAATTGCTTGAAAAATTTCTCTTGAAAGACAGGGCAATACTGTGTTTCACGAAAGGTATCTATTACTCAAACAGTTTTAAATATATTGGTGTTTCACGAAAGGTATCTATTACTCAAACAGTTTTAAATATATTGTTTTTAATAAGCAGTTTTTTTTAGATACTTGGAAGAATAAAAATCTCCTCAAAGTTTTTTACTGTCTTCAGCTGTCGAATTTTCTTATCCCATGAAAATAGAAAGTATTTCTATTAAAAAGAAATTTGTTGCTAATCTCGTGCATAAGCGATCCAGTGAAGTTTGTTGAAGAATTAAATAGTTTGTTTATTAAATAAGTGCGTAAATTAAATTTGCACAGGAACATTAATATCTGATGATAAAGCATCGGAGGATTTGTTGGTCCACCAATCTGGCCTTCGATGATTTTGTTTTACAAGTTTATTTTTCTAAAGGACTAATTCTCATAATATATACACATAATGTAATAAAAAATGGAGCATTCATTCAAATCAGAATTTTGCCTAAATTTCAGTTTCAAACTGATTAAAGTATTTTTTAAATTTAAAAAATAATAAAAATATTTTTGTGGTGTTAGAATTATTTCGAAGTTTTCATATTGGAAATGCTCGCCGAGGGAGGGTTTGTTATGTAATTTTTTTATATCTTGTAGTATTTTTATATTCCAAAAAAACTTAGTATTTTTTTTTTAAATGCTTGATCTCAGAATTGTGAAAATAATCATTTCTATTCAGATTAAACCAATTAATGTCGCTTAGCGTTAAAATACTTTTAACGATAAAACATTTAATATTTTTATTAATAATGAAACATTTTTAGCGGCAGAAGACAACAAAATTATTCTGTTCTTAATCCGGCTCAGTTACCGTCGGACATAGCAATGTTAATATTACTGTGTATTCTGATTGCAATGTACATTTCTTTTAAGGAAAAAATATTTGATAATTAACTGTAGCTTATCCATGATTACTTTGCATTTGCTGTGTTCATACTGTAACCGCGTTCTTTGGAAATTAAATTATTCGCATAATTTTCCCTGTCGATTTTCGTACGATAAAAGGGGGAAAAGACGGTAACAGCCAGCAGACGATTTACATCATACTTTGGCGCGAAACATACGCATTAATATGAACATTAAGTTGCAAACGACAGGCGAACTTCTTTTTCCTAGTTGCTAAATAACGTTGGCAACAGCATCTGCAGAAGATTTGGATTTGTTCTTTTTGGTATCTCTCGAACGTTTTTGCAGTGGATGGTTATCTATTTATGACTGCTTATAAAAATTACTTAATTGCCTTAAATCATCATAATATAAATCATTCCAGTTTTTGCGAGATGTAAGCTAGAAATTTTTAATTATGTAAGATGAAAGTGTAATTTTATGTTCCTTATCAAGTTTCTTTTTTTGTTTCACAGATTCGCCTACAGTCGTAGAACGTCCTCAGAAAGCTACCTTAAAATCGAAGAAGAAGAAAAGAAACCAGCCGAATTTTATAAAATCCAAGTACAAGAGTATGGTTGACATTGAAGGTAAGCAAATTTTCAAGCTCATTTGTTTCTTAGTACTATTTGAATGATAATATTTATTTTTTGGAACAATAGAAATTTTTTATCTGGATGAATAGTTATTGTTTGGGAAGAGAATAATTAGACAAAAATTCCGTACCTTCTTCCTACTCTTTACTTCTGCTTTTAGATGCATATGAAAATGTATTGTTGCAAAGATTTTTAATTGTTTAAGAAGGAATTTTTAGTATTTTTATTTTCATAAGAAATAAACATGAATAAAACTACAGAAAATCTATAAATGCAGCTAATTAATTTGTGATGTGATCTAAGTCTTACTGAACGATTTGAAGATACATATATGATAAACTTATTCGTGCTGGTCAAAAAATAAAAAAGCTCGATTGAAAATTCGTGCAGTAAGAATAATGGCTGTGTTTGGGAATGCTTTGGTATGCGAAAAGCGTTTTGATGATAATGTCTAATAATTGCTGTCCAAGTCTAGTCGGTTTATCAGAACCAAAACGCGATCAAGTGTCAAGCTGTAGTAAGAAATAAAGTGTATAATTATTTATAATAATTCATAAATATAGTAAACGAAATTTAAAACTTATTAAGATATTTTTTTTATTTTGTTAGTAAATTTTCGATTTTTTGAGAGAGAGAAAATTCTGGTCTATCATCTGTTTTTAGATTCTGCAATTGACCCGCATACAGTTTGAGTTTTTCCTAAATTTTCCCGCCGAAAGACGTATGGTTGTCTTACATTCCTGACTTATGGAGTTACTGAATTATTCTCTAACTCTACACTCTGTCATGCCTACCGCTTGAATGCATTCATTTTGAGGATTTTTGTTAGCATAGCATAGAGGAGGAGATGTGAAACGGACTTGGTGAAACTGCATATCAGAAAACGGGTTTATGTCGCGATCACTAGATGGCGCTGCAGTTATCTTTGGATCATTCCAAATGTAAATATTTATATGCCTTGGTAGGAAGCTAAGCTTTGTAACGGAAGAGGAAATGTTTATGTTTTAAGCGATGTATTATGTTTATAATTTTTTGGATAATATTAACTACCTGGTAAATGTTTACAATTGGATGCCCCTTGTTTATTGGCGATTTTTTTTTTTTGACGCCAAGATCGGCGCCAGGAAGGCACAATTTTAAGATGAACGGTACACAAAACAAAATAAGAAGTCAAAGAATCGCACAAACTCTGTGTCCATGTACACATCGATCTTTTTTCACTTAAAAAAAATATCTCAGAACTGCACAAACTAGGCATTGCGCACTGCCTTAAATTTGTCCATGTACACATCAATCTATTTTCATTAAAAAAAAATCAGGAAGCTAAAACAAAGTTAAAACTATCATGGTAACCAGATTAAGGTTTCATCGCCAAAATTTTTTTAAAATTTGTCGCTAATCTAAGGGACACCGAATTCTACTCTAGAGCCCACTACCCTTTCGATTCTGTTCGCCAATGATTACATTTAACGCTTCAAATCATAAAGTATAATTTACAGTTTTCATGGTTAAAGGATTATAGTACTTTTTTAATGAATGATTAATTTGAAGATTTCTTTCAGACCCACCCCCAAAAGAAGAATTATATTACTGTTAATAAATTTTCATTTCTATCATATAAAGTTATTCTTATTTGTGAATCAATGTCAATTTTTTTGATATTTTAATCTTTTTATGTTAAAAAATTTCCATGCCTTTTTTATTTTAGAAAGCCTGAATTATGGTATGATAAGATTCTTAAATAGTATTCAGATTTAAATTAAGTATTCTCAATACTTGGTTATTATGAATTCTCTTTATAGTCATCATAATTAAACATAAAGCCCAGAGGTAGTAAAACGGTATTATAAAGCTAATTCAGTGTATCTTTAATTATTGTCCTGCTTGTGTTTTGAACTAACTTTTAATGGATAAATGCAAAATTTTACCTAAAAGACATTGTAGATATTTTATGTTTTAAGACTGCATGTGCCAAACACTTTTCTTCCCAAAGATATGTATACAGACATTGAGTTGTTGGCCGCAGTTAAATTATATATTACTCTCATTATCTACATTTTCTTTTTCAAATTAAGTATAGTCAATAAGTTTTCAAAGTAAATTATTCTGTTCCATTCAATAACCTAAAAGATGTATTTCTTACACGTGGCAAAATTTTACTACATTTATGATCAGATGTTTTCTCGATGTTAAGTTTCAAATACTTTTATTAGTCCAGACATTCTGATAAATTATAAAAGTTCATCTAATTGTGATCAGGCATAGTATAAATGTTGCTTACCTTTGGAGTTCTACCTTGAAAATTAAAAAGCTTGGAAAGAAAAATTAAAAAGATTGGATTTTTTATTCCGAAGTTTTTTGTCCTTGCACATACCTGCCAACTTTTACGACTTTTTCGTAATTTTTACGAAAATGCGTTTGTCTTTACGATTTTACGATCATAATCCAATTTTTACGATTTTTTTCCTTTTTCAAGTGTTTTTAGTGATATTTTGTCGAAATTTTAGAATTTTTCGCCAATTCAGCGATTTTTGCCAATTGCATCGTGTTTTACCGCCAACTACCGACTACTTCAAATATAGTAACCTGCGGTTTCTCCCCCAACTCGGCCGCTTAACCAGCCAATCCAATTCGCTGAACTTGTTTCTCCCACTCTTTTCTTTGTGGGCGCCAGATTATTTTTTTCGCGTTCGCTTCAGCAGCAAGGGAATTACTCAGCAAGCATGCATTGCCGCATTCTGTTTTATTGTCGAGCGTTTATTTTTTGTTTTTTGTTTTTTTTTCTTTGTTTGCACGTGCTACGAATTTTCTTAATACGTCGTTGTTACGAAAATGAGTTCAAAAAAACCGTATTGTGAAGAAAAACAATAAGTATTTTTCGGCCTGCCTACAAAGCCGAATTTCCACCAATTAAAGAATCCTTCAAAGGAAATAACTATGCATTTTGCAACGTGTGCGTGAGTGACTTCATAATAAGTAACGGTGGAAGAAGCAACATTGTGAAGCATGTTAAGTCTAAAAAGCATGGTTAATGCTTCAGCTTCGACAACGTCAAAGAAAGTGGATGATTTTTTTTTTTTTTTTTTTTTTTCCCCCCGAATTCGGATGCCGGTGTCATTTTGGCAGAATGTTTGTTTACTGCATTCCTCATCGAACACAACGTCCCGCTAAGCGCTGTTCTGGAGAAGATAGACTTGATGTCCTCGTTGGTACCTTAAAAAGAATAAAAAGAGCTGATGGAACACCAAAATATTATAGACTAGCAAGAGTTTTACGTGCTATTCTCGTAATTCCACACAGTAATGCAGAGTGCGAGAGAGTCTTCAGTGTTGTGAAGAAAAAAAAAACTATGTTTCGTTTTTCAGCTTCACCAAAAACTCTAGAAAACATTTTAATTGCTAAATGTTATGAGGAAACTAATTGTTATGACAGGAAATTTTCCAAACAATTTTTGGCTAAAGCCAAAAAATGCACTCTAAATTCATTGCAATAATTTTTTTGTGTAACATTAAGTTCTTGTTTTATGTTTCCTAATAAATTATTTAGTTACTACTTAATTGAGATTTACTAATGTAAGTACAATTTTCTTTTTTCTATTTCTATAAATTGTTATTTTTTTAATATCAAAGCATGATATTAATTCTTCCTGTTCTTCTGAATTTGGGGGAGAAATCTTCTGAATTTTTATCTTTAGAGGTTGGCAGGTATGCTTGCATTTTAAAAGTTCTATAGCCACAATTATAAAATAGATTCTATCAGATGCTTTATTCATAATGAAAAGATATATTAAATCAATATTTCTGCTATTATTGCCTGTGTAAAATACAACAGAAGGTGAAATGGTGACGACTGCAGCATCCTCTGTAAGTAATGCAACAAAAAGTGGACCCATTTTTGGGAAAAGTGTTAATATGAGTTTCAACGCCTCCTGTATACTCTGTTTTTTTGAGGTAGTATATTGGGATTTTTGTGGAATTAGTTGTTGTGAGGCATTGTAGATTGTACTTCAGTAAAATAATATTCCGTCCTAGGAGAAGGTGGTGTGTGTTATTTTCTTGACTTTTATTTTATGGGTACCCTTATGTAATGGATTGTAATATTGAGCAAAGTGGTTCAGTATCAAAAACTTGACAAGGGTTTACAAGCATTACTTCAATGCAAATTTAAAAACTATTTTTATTAGGTAAACAGAAGCAAGAAGGATTATGTGGCATTAAAGAAGTATCACATTGCACAAATTATTTTTCATATATTTTGAAAGAATTTCTTAAAATTGCTCATTTGATTAGGAATCTATGTGCCATAGACTGGAAATTCAAGAACAGTGAAATGGAAATAAGGTTCTGTTTTCTTATCAGGACCGGATCCAGAAGTGGATGGATGTGTTCATGTCTGCATACATATGTAAGCATGAATGTGTATACACATTGCACATACATACACATTCATACATTTCTGAATCCTATACTGATACAGTACCAGAAATAATTTGTGTGAGAACAGTACCAGAAATAATTTCTATGAGAGGAAAATTAAGAAGGTGGAGTCGTTTATCTCGGATGACATGGATTAAAAGATGCATTTTGTTTCTCTGTAATCCATTTGAAAAAATTCATAGATGAACGAAATATTTTTATTTTCAGTGTTCTGAAATTAACACCAAATGGCTACAAAATTTAACTTTTATCACCAGTTTCAGTTATGAATAAATCTCAAGAGTAAAACAGCTCAAATAATTAAGTATAGTGTTCTTTATAGTATAATATAGTTTTCCTAACTATTTATTGCATGTGAGCTATTAACAAGATCATAAACTGAGAATTAGGAAGAGAATGAGTAAGTTAGTTGCTAATACTAAAAGTATAGAGGTATTGAATAAATAGAAAATCAAAAAATGATAACTATTTGGAAATAATAAAAACTGTGTATAAAGACAGGCAGTGCCTTGTGTAATAAATTGGTGGTTAAAAAACTGCTCTTATTATTATTACTATTACAGTCAAAAGTCGTTAATTCGGACACCCATAATCCGGAATGATCTATAATCCGGATCTCAAAGCTAAAAACTTTCTGCGCATGCGCCGCGTTGACACATGCACATAGGAGTTTACGCGCATATGCGTGTGCGCAAGTGCAGAATACGTTTTCGTGTGGAAGTTTAATGTATAACGTACGGAGCAAGCTAGAAAGAAAGAAGCTAGCAGTCAAGAGAAGACTATTTAAGTTTTATTATCTATTTCAATAAATGTTGATGATTGCGTTGTTCCTTAATCTTCGAATTGGATGCGGCTTATTATTTTTTGTAGACTGTAAGAGCAATTTTATAAAAGTAAACTTGAACTTTCGATTATGTCAATTTCCGATTCTGGAGCTCCCAAAGGATCTACAAAACGAAAGTATGTCTCGATGTCCGTCAAACAAAAAGTGGAATTGCTGCAAAAAGACATGAAGAAGGCGACAGAGAGGTTAGTGAAAAGGAAAAAATTTCGATTGACAAGTTAGTCGGTATTCTCGGCACAGCAATTACGGGACTTGTAACTGAACAAGAAATCATGTCTGTTTATAAAATTAAAGAGAAAGTATTATCACATAAAACGAACCAACTTACATTGAAAGAAATGTTTAATAAAGTAAACAAATAAATATTAAGCTTCTTTTTTTGTAAATTTTGATACCCTTTAGATCATAATTGTTCATTTCATAAATTATGGTTTCATATTTTTAATTTTAGAATTTGTGCATGCCATCGTACGAGATTTAAACTGATGATCTATAATCCGGAAAAATCGATAATCCGGAATCGCCGAAGTCCCGATGAGTCCGGATTAACGACTTTTGACTGTATTATTATTGACGACTCATTACAGTAGAAACTGTAATGAGTAATGATCTTTCTCTGTGTCTCTGTTCTTGCGTATAATGTGAAGAAAGTAATTAAAAAAAATTCATTTATTTTATAGGTTCATCAAAAACTGGTTCTGCTGAAAAGAAAGAAGCTAGCAGTCAAGAGAAGACTACTAAAGTTTACACTCCCTTACAGTTGTTCCTTACATTAAAGACGAGCAGTGCTGACTTATATTCCGAGTTCCTGCCATACATTCTCAGTGATGAACAACTGCAGAAATATGGATTTCCTCTTGATTCTCCAAATCTCTCTGGAGGAAATACTGTATACCAAAAAGGTACAGGAAGAGACCCTACGGAGCGATGCTGTGTTCGATGTGGAGCCACTTTCTTCATTTTGGATGATGGAACTTATGAGTCGGAAGCACCATGCCATTTTCATACTAAAAAATTAACGTCTTCCAATGGTGTTCCAGCAGCTGGTGCATATCAGTGCTGCAATGGGAATTATATGTCTGAAGGCTGTGCAACATGGCATTTCCATGTTTCAGTGGAACGATCTCCGAAAGATGTGGAGTACGTGAAACCACGTGAAAAGCGACAACTAAACAGAAAAAAATCTCACAGAGTATATGCTCTGGATTGTGAAATGTGTTATACGACGGGAGGCTTGGAAGTAGCTAAAATAGGTATAGTGGGCATCGATGGCTTAACAGTGTATGAATCCTTTGTCCTACCGAAGCATCAGATATTGGATTACAACACTGTTTACAGTGGTATAACGGCCAATGACCTGAAAGGTGTGTCTACGACATTGGTTGATGTCCAAACATTCCTGTTGAAATTGCTTAACAAGGACAGCATTCTTGTGGGTCATGGCCTCGAGAATGATTTAAAAGCCCTGAGCCTCATACACCACAAAGTTGTGGATACTTCAGTAGTCTTCCCACACAAATATGGCAATAGATATAAAAGATCGTTAAAGTCTCTGGCGTTAGAATATTTAAACAAATCTATTCAAGACAGTACTAATGGCCATGATTGTATCGAGGATGCAAGAACTTGCATGGAACTGATGTTATGGAAAATTAATGGAGATAAATCTAACAGTGAAGCCATCACTGATGAAAACAAAAACTCCTTTCTACAAAATGTGCACTATACCCAAGAGCAGTCTTGGGTAGACTATGAATCAAAATGTGCATGGTGTTTTGTAGGCTATGAAGCAAATCATGTATGTATGACACCCTATCCAGCAGGTTTTCAGAAGAGTAACGTGGACTATCAGGCAGATTTTCCCGTTAGCTTTTTTAGTCCAAGCTATTTTATTTATCCACCTAATGCAAAAAATTCGAGGACAATATGTGCATAATTTTTTTACTATGAAATGCTATGCATTTTTTCTAAGTCAGTTTTTTAGGTAAGAAAATGTTGTAAAATTAATTTTGTACAGTTTTTTTCTTGTATAATTTATGTTGTCTATCATCAAATTGTTTGCCACAGAATTTGCAGTTTTCTAAGCAAATTCTTCTTTTTAGAATTCATCATGTTTTGTAGGGCAATTTCATTGTCATTTACTTGTAAATATCATGAATTTTTAATAAACTTTTTATAATTTTACGTCTTGTTCTGGTTTTACAGAAAAATGAGAATGTCAGTATTGGGTTTATCTAGAAAAAAATTGTTTCGTTATTATTTTTGTGCATAATTCTGAAAGAAAATACAATTACATCACATTCACTATACATTAAATTAATATCTAATTAGAAATTTTCATGTAAATTACATATTACATTTTATAGATTTGTATTTGATAAATTAAGTCTTTAATTATTTGTCTTCAAAAGATTACAAGTTAGGAAAATTTTGCTAAGCTGTTATTATTTTATTGTTTAATTACTGTTTTCAATTCTTACTCTGTGCGTACAGACGCCACGAAAAATTCTCTTCGGAATTAATTTTAAAGCAATTTTATAATTTTTTGAAGGAAAAGAGTATTTTATTCTGTCCTTACCTACAAATATCACGCAAAAACATCATTAAATTGCATTCGATAGCGGTCAAAATGGATATTTTCATTGAAATATGCTGCCCGAAACTTTTCGCGATTACAATACTTCCTTTTTACTTCGTACAAGGAAGTAAAAAGACCTTTCTACATAAATAAGCTAAAAAATACTCCAGTAAATGCATATAACCGAAATTGGATTTAGATGTGCTATTGAAAATGTAGGCTGTGAAAAATATTTATATTAAATATTGATTAAAAATATCAAAGGTGCTTAGAATTTTAACCTTTAGAAACTTGAAATGTATGAATGTTTTTTCATGTACAACAAAATCTGTTGATGAAGGAGAAATGTTAATAAAGTTAAGCATTCTAATACAAAAGTATCATTTCGTATGAAAGGGGTTTTAAATTGTAAACTCTTGAACATTAATTAATAATTATAAATCAAATACAAATCTTTAAAAGTAGTGAAATGTTCATAAAATACGGAGATGTTAATAAACATAGTTATTTTGCACAAAAATTTGTTTGGATATATTAAACGGTTTTTAATTATATGTCCAGTATGTTATTTAATAAATTCTTTGCAAAAGATGTATACTGAATGCTTGTACTAGTGAATTACTCTATGTCAGTTACTGCAATATCAAAATACGAAATCTGGTGAAACAATATGGATTGTGTTAATGTTATGAATTTTATTAATCTTATCTGAATGGTTTGAAATGCTATTTAAAAATGTCCTCAACATCTTAGGAAAATTTTTAATGGCTGGAGATGCATATAAATCAGTCATTATTCTTCCGTACTATAGATTCAATATCTTAAATAATGAAGAAAACATTGTACCCCTTTGACATGCAGAAATGTAGGTAAGAGAAGGAGATAAAAGCAGCCCAAGCTGAAAAGCAAAATAAGCATAAAATGTTTTCCTAGAACAGTACAAATACCACAACTATAAAATTGCTCACAATACAAAGATTTGAAATCTTTGACCTCTCAGTAACATTGCACTTAAAACTATTAAAAGATTGCCTAATGTTTTTCTACCTTGGAAACACACTTTGTTGTCAAGGCGTGGTATATCTCAAGTTATTTTGTTGGCTTTTATTTCCGATGCTGTCTAAACTGTTTTCATAATTCCAGTGTGAGTGAATTCAGAAGTAAAATTTGTTAAATATATTAGATGATTAACACATGCAAACAAAATAAGTGACCACAGTTATAGATTTCACTAAACCTATGATAAATGAAATGTACCAAAACACCAACAAATGATTATCATAATGAAAAAATATATCAAAACCAAAATTCAAGGAAATAATCATGAATGCCATACTCTTGAGTATATAAGCTGCTGCACTCTTAATTTTTACAACTAATTTAAAAAATTCTTCGATTGTCTGCGTACCAACTGTAATCATTTTTGCCATTTTGGATATGTGAAAGGAGCTGAAATAGAAACAGTAATTACACTTTAAAATAAAAATATTTTTAATAGATCAAAAGGAACATATTTTTGTGTTTAGCGCCTCGTTCACTAGAACTATTGGTACCACTAGAGAAATTGCCTGCACTAACCAGTATGATGATAACTTCTACCAGTATCCCATAGCATGACCTGTAACCACAACTAGAATTATAGAATCCTATGAAACATTAACCCTACAATAACAGATTTTATACTCAATCCTTAAATTCGTACTCCTCTGTTGCCACAGGTTTGTATGTACCTGTTTCTAATCATTTGTGTCTGTATTCATGAGCACCCATGATTTTCATCTGCTATTTTGTGAACAAAGGTACTGCTTATACACAAGGAAATATATTTACTTAAATTTACTAGTGAAAAAAGGTACTGCTTATACACAAGAGAATATATTTACATAAATATACTAAAGTACTAATTGTAATAGTCCATAATCATTCATGAAAAATTGCAGTTGCAAACTATATTTGGAGTAGTTGCAATAGGAAATTTTGCAAAGTGAGATGAAAGGTAATTTGGAAACTATTTAAAATAGATCAGTTAGAAAAAGAATTAAAAGTGAATAAATTTCATAGAAATACATAGTAAATAAATGATAAATATGTATGTATGTAGTAATTTAAAAACATTACTAATTCTCCGAGAATAACTATGTGGTTATTTGGTTTACTATATTCTTTAGGTTTAAATATAATTTGTTTTTATGCTGGAATTCTAATTATTTACTATCTTATTTACTAGATTTGATGTTTTACTTCATAAGGTTACTTTGTTAACTATGTCCCTTAGACCGTGTTAGATGAAATTTGAGATATGATGAATTGTATTATCCACAGAATATAGGTCAAATTGAATCAAAGTAAAACAGGATCTTCTGTCCCTTGATATCCTTTCTGGTATGACAAAATCTTTCAAAGATTTTTAAAGCATATTTGGCACTTGCATTTTTAAATGGAAAAATTTTCACAAATTTGTTCATTCTTATCACCAATAGTACCTCTAAAATTTTTTACAAAGGAAACAAATGATACATAGCTATTTTACCAGCTTTTATGGGATCTAACAAACTTGTTTACCACTCGCTTTATTAGGTCATTAAAATTGTATTTATCATTTCTTACTTGGAACTAAAAAAGGGTTAGAGTAGACTTTAGGGTACTCCTTGTTCTATCGCGAAATTGTTGTTTCATTTACCGCCAAATTGTTTCATTTATCTCCAAGTTGTTGGCTCATTTATGACAACCTGAGTAGTTGAATGCTATGGAAACCCTATTATGACGTAATTGGTTGCGGTGAATTTGAATCATGGGAAAAAATCTGGAAAGTGTGTCGGATTTTGGGTAAGGGCTTGTGTGTGATGGATTAGTACGTTGTTATTTTGCGGTTTACACGGTATATTGGCTGAATGTGGTAAGATTAATTTAAAGTTTCTGCAGGATTTGGAAAGAAAGCGGAAAAGAGCATTACTTGACTGGAGTATAAATGAAGGTTTACTTAGTAGCCATTATTAAGTGTCCTGTTTGTAGGATGGAAATGCGTATGGTCGAACAACGCTACGGAGGATATTTTTTACTCTTATTTTGTAAATTTATGTGAGGATGCCGGTATACAGATTCTAGTTGAGGTAATTTTAGGAAGTTTTTGGATGCTGTTAAGGAATTGTGTTTGACTGAAGACGCGTAAATAAGGTAACTGGATATTTCCTTCGTGTAGTGCTGAGATGAATTTTTGGTTAATCTTTGGATTTTAGTAACTTGGCGAAAATTTGGCGACCAACCCTGCTACAGCAACCTGCTAGTTTTTGTTTGGACGCCATTTTGTTTTCACGAAGTAAAGATATGTTTTTTTTTTACTCAACATTTTTTTCCAACAATCTGCTAGCCGAATTATGCTTACGCTAGAACTTTTATGGAACAAAAGTGCTTAATCATGACGAAGATTAGGTGCGAAATTGAGAGAAAGTGCAGAATCGCCCACTGCTTGCCGCGTTTTTAAGAACTGCATATACACGGTATCATCCATGTACACGTCGACCTATTTTCACTTAAAAAAACATCTCAGAAAACCACAAAAATGGCATTGCGCACACTCTTGACTTTATCCATGTACACTGCTAAAGTCCTAGCTAGTAACCTTTATCGCCTTACCAAAATGTCGCCAAACTACCTGTTACCATAATCCAAAGATCCGGAATGTGATATAAATCATATGTTTTGAAGGAATGTGATTTAAATCATGTTTAGAAGGGAAACTGTACCCCGCTTTCTTTTCCATTTATAATCTAGAGTCTGTTTCATGCAATATACATTTATCGCATTTAAATGGTTTTACAATTATCATGTTTGTCCAGTGTTATTAAAACACTTTTGCAACAAAAGCATAACAAAACAATTCGGAATTATGAATAAAGGTAAATTTCAATGTTATAAATTCGTGTAAATTATAAAAAGCATCGATCTGCAGAATATTGTGCAGGTAGTTTATATTCTGAAGTTAGTTCCATATTTTCTTGTATCGTTTACGTTTTCCCTTCACGATAATAGATGGCAGCACTAAAACTGTTTAACAAATTGGAAAGGATTTTTCTGGTTTATAGATGGCAGCACTAGATCGTAAAACGGACATATTTTCATTATTATTAAACGTTCGCTCTTCAGTAATTTGCTCGAATTTTCTTATATGGCTTTCGCATTATATATGTATGTAAATATGCGTAAAAAAGTTAATTTACGTAATGCATACATTTTTTTCGCTTCAATCCATATCTCTGTATATTCTCATTTAGTGCTCTGTAGAGGGGGGGGGGGAAACGTGATTTTATTTCATTCTAATATGAATAACTATAATCATTTTATCATATTTTATTCGTGTGACAGAATAAAAAGCGGGTTATGTAGATCTCTGTGAGATGTGTTTTATAATTTAACTGTAGAAAATATTTAGCTCATTACACACGATGCAAAGATTGCAGATCTCCAGAATTTTGACCATATTTCCGCCATTCTGATTTACAACATGTTTCTTTCAACTTACTGAAGTTTCTCTGCTTTTTATATAATTTGCTTTAATATTACTTCCCCCTTCCACACTTCCTTTCTGGCATTCGAAATAGCATGCACT